TCTCTAGTAGGAAGACGATCCAAGACTGCAAGCCAAGTAATAATGCTAAATTTGGGAATATGAAGGGGTACCAGACAATCTTGTGCCAGAATATTTTTCCATGCTTGATACGTAACTCTTCCCAAATGCTTTTAGAATAAGAAAATCCTAAATTAAGAATTGGAATGGCCTCAGATCTTAGTTTCAAAAGCCTGTTAAAGCAGTAGCTATAAGAGGGTTTATTCAACATCTATAATCCCTCAACGTTTTTTCACCAAATATGATCCTTAAACTTGGGGGAAATTAATCTAACCCTTTAAATTGAGGAATCACACGTTGACAGTCACAATGCTTGCACGATAGTTCATAAACTTACATGGCAATCTACAATTTTGATGTGACAGTTCACGATATTGTTGTGGCAGTACTCGATGGACGATGATGTGGTAGATGGACTTAATTGATTGTTAAAAAGTTTGAGGACTTATTTAATTTAAAAAAATTAAAAATTTATTTAGATTAAAAATATAGAATTCAAACAATTATTAAGATATTCAATACATTAAATATAAAAATACTACAAAATTAAATTATTAAAAAAATTAATTTAAGGACTACATTGAGTGTAAACAAAAGTTTAGGGACTATACTGATTTTTTATAAAAGTTTGAGGGTTTCAAATATCATTAAATAAAAAAATATTTTTATAATGATTTAAACTTGTGTAAGTCAAGTTAAAAAAACTAGATATTATGTTTCCTTATTTTTCAATTTTTCAAAAATAATTTTAACGAAAATATTGAAAACATCTTTTTTATGTTTTCATATTTTTACTTATTTTTATTTTTTTTTTCTAGAAATCATTTTATAATCAAACACAATTTCTTCAATATTTTCTATTCTCTAAGAAAATGAAAATGACCGATATTTTCTAAAACTAAACAGATTTTAAGTAATTAATCGGAAAAACTCAGATTTTAGAGAGGACACCATCAATAAAATAAATAATTAATCGAAGAAAATTTAGATTTCAGGGTGAGTATGTGCCCAGTCTCACCAAGCTATAAATTCTCATTGGTGCTAGGGCTAGAGACCTAACATGTGAAATGATTAAGCATTTTCAATTACATTGCTTCCCACCACACGCCAAAGAGAGTTTTATTATACAAAGCGACTAAGGACCAAGTAGGAAGTTGTTTTTTTGGCACAGACAAACTATATATCGTTAGGTGTTAAAGATATAATTTTATATTTTATAGGAACATTTTCAATTCATTTTCAAAAAAGAAAAAAAAGGCAGTTGATGTGATTTTACGGACCCATCGTCGCAATTGAATCTATTAAGCTGACGTTTATGACCCTTTCTTTTGGGGAACATAAATGTTCTAGCTTTGTAAGTGAATCAAAAGAAATAGGGAGCCTTTGGCCACACTAATTTCTTGGTATTATAAATACTGATCGTGTTTTATCTATGTTGGATGATGTTATTACAAAATTGTGGCCCACTACATCACTGTCTTAAAAAGGACCCGGGAGGATTTGACTCCGTGAATGAGGGAATAAAACCTTTGCTAATAGAAATCAAAAGAAAGTGGTCAGTAATTTGATATCGTTTACTCAATATTTAAGTTTAAGTCTTTGTATGCAGAAAATTTTTGTCGGGAGATTCACCCACCAAAGTTAGGTATACGACCCAGGTTGATCATATTAATCAGGGTAAAACCTTAAAACTGGAGACAAAAAAAATAGTTGATATGCTATAATCTATTGAGTGATTTCAGTGGTATAAGTGTTATCACGATAAAAGTGATCTATCAAATATTGTGTTTGCGTTATTAATAGCTATTTTTTTAAAACAAATAATCTCTTATAATCACTCTAAATATTTAAAAACTAATTAAATGATAAAATTATAATTTCTCATTTAATTGTAACTTACCCCATATTACTATTATAATTATCCAAACCAGCTGAATGGCTGAAAATTCTAACTTTAAAGCCCAAAGCCATTAAGGGTTAGCACATAGGACTATAAATAAAATTTCTTTAATGGGCTTGGTTTACTGCACATTAGAGACCATTTCCAATTCACATCTCTCCATTTCGACTTTTTGGGCCTAAAGTCCATAATTTTTTAAATTTACTCTGTACAATTCTTTTATTAATTTTTTTTGACGAGTTTTAAATCAAATCCTAATCCTATCTAGTGATGGAGGGGAAAAAAGGGAGTACTCCTAATGGTGTAGAACTCATGACCTAAAGAAACATGAGGGAACAAAGATGAGCAGCTTGACTAACAGGTCAAACGTACTTACCTTATTTTTATTTATTTTTATTAATCTAGGGAAGTTAAGAGTAGTAGTATATGGTTTAAAGGCTCTCAATAATTTGACAATGAATACATAAATATCATGCAATCACTAGTGCTCGAACAAGGAACCTCTATGAATAACATTTATCCTTTAACTTTAACCACCGAAGTCTTGAATTTGAATTTTTAATTTATTTTTAATAGTTTCATGATACAGTACAATAACAATGTGGCATAGTCATAGTGTCACATCATAAAAACATTAAGATGAGAGAGAAGTTATTAAGTTCATGGGCTAATGTAGATTAAAAACAAAATTAAAGGACTAAAATAAAAAATTTACAAAATTCAAAGACTAAACAACTCTACTCATAGATGTTATGATGATTCAGGCTTTATATGAAGATATTGATGATAATTATATTTGCATATTCCAAGATTGAAGGCCAGTGTTCCTTTACCCAATGAGCAAGGCGAAATATATAGTGAAACCGAGAAGAAAAAAGAACTTAATAAAAACAATATGAATCATGAACAAATTCTATAAAACACAAACAATCAATCTATGTGAAACATCATTTAAATATATAATATTATAAAAGTAACTATAACATATAAATTATAATATATGAAATAAATTAAATATTAATTATTTAATTTTAGCCAAATTAATCGATCACGTTTTTATAGCCCTCGTTTGTTCAAATTAGTTTAGGGATAACATTTTAACTTGAAATCATCAGGTTTTGATCTAATCCAATCCGATAGGGTTAGATTTTTTTAATAAAAAAATCATATTCAAGTTGGGTCGGGTTGGATTTTTTAAGGGGTTAAATCGGGTTCGGGTGGAGGGTGAAAAAATTCTGACCGACTCGATTTGACCCAGTGATAATAATATAATTTCTTTAAAATATTATTATTATTTAATTAAGTTCTTATTTTATACCATCGGGTTGAATTACCCGTCACACCCTGGAATTGGTTTTGCCCAAAGCATCGGACCAATGATCACCCATGACTTTATACTTTAAAAAAATTGAGTTAAGTCGGAATCGAGAGAATTATGTATATTTTAAGATCAGATTAAATCAGATGAATGATATATAATTTTGAGGTCGAGTTGAATTCAAATAAAAAATACATATTTTCAAATTAAATTGATTGATCAAAATCATGAGCTTAATTCGATCCGTTGCCATCCCTATACTGATCCCTCGTTGCCATCCCTATACTGATCCCATGTCTTCTTATCTTGGTAGAGGCTTAAAAGATGGAAAACGTCATCGAGAAAACGAAAGAGGTCCCCCACATCATGTTTTATTTTGGAACGAAAACTATAGATGAGAGGCACATGGCCTCACTGATTACAAAAATTCTCTTTCCCCATAGCCCTTTGTTTTTCTCTTTTTCCGAGTTCAAGTGCCTTCATTATTGGCTTTTCTCCCTGTTGGCCCCTCGACTGTTGCCATTATTGGTAGTTTGACAAGCTTTTTCACGGCACTTGGTCGATTTTGATGCCCCAAAGTTTTGCCATCAGTGACAAGATTGGTTCTGAATTAGCGGGTGGAATTAAGATTAACTAATGGTAAAAATGATTGCGATTTCACCAAGATTTAAGAATATCTTTAAGCAGACATAATCTCACCATGCTTGTCCTTTGGGTTGAATCGAGGACTAGTTATGGAAATATATATATGCTTTCGTCTATGTTCTAAAAGCTAATAATACTATGCTTTATATTTTTACAGTGACGGAGCCACAACTTCGTAAGTATGTGAACGTGTCTATTCTAAAATCTATTTTTTTTTGATTAGTTATTATTTTATTGATGATACTTATCCTGAAATCTTTTGTGTACACTCTGAAATCAGAATTTTCTTCGATTAATTATTTATTTTACTAACGGTGTCCACTTTAAAATTTTATTTATATATTTTTGTATCAACCAATATGTATAAAAATCTATCAGGGAGATGAAACAAAGTTCTACTGGTATTTTTATAGATATAAAAATCTATCAGGGAAATATATTTATCATTTTGATACGTTGAATTTAGAGGTCCAAATCATATATTAGCTATCAAATTGTCACACGTTTCCCCCACCTCTATAACGTCCAAGTATTATTACAACAACATAGTATTATAGATGCACAGAATCTTAGTGCACCGTCACCGCCACCTAATTCTTTCTTATATTTTTGCAATAAATGAATGTAACTCTTATTTATAAATAGTTTCCATATATATACTTAATTGTTTTTAAAATCAAATTAAATTTTAATTAATGGATATAAATTATTTAAAACAAAAATTTATTAATATAAAGTACTTTATCACTTGACTAAAATTTGTTTATTTTATTATTTGTTATCACACCTTTGCTAACTGCCTGCCGCTGCGGGCGGCCAACCGTAACTCACATGCCCAAATCATCGTATTTGTCAATCCATCCCACGTTCCACAATGCCCCGTCGCCGTGTCTCCGTTTTCATGCCGTTGATCTTTCCATCAGTAGGCCCACATATCTTACCTCTTTCCACGTGTCAACCATTAATAAGGCGGTGTTCGCATGTGCCTCCATTATTCTCTCCAAGTGGCACATCCCCAATGGTCTGCTCTCTGGTATCCAATGACACATTTTAGTAGTATAAAAAAACCACGTTGGCCAGACTCTTTCCTTAGCTGAATTAGTTGTGTGTGTGTAAAGAAGTAACTAATGGCACGAAAATCGTTCTCGGTTCCGTTGATTTTCCCGGCGGCTCTCGTCGTTTCGTTTGCTTTGCTACTCTTTGCTGCTCCAATAGTGGCCGGCCACGACTACCGCGATGCCCTCCGTAAGAGCATTCTCTTTTTCGAGGGCCAACGATCCGGCAGACTTCCACCGGATCAACGCATCAAATGGCGCCGCAACTCGGCATTGCGCGACGGCTCTGCTGCCGGCGTACGTGTTCATTTCCGACATTGTACATTTTCATTTTTGACAATGTCTAGTTAAATCGTTAATGGCGTTTGATATTTTTTCAGGTGGACTTAACTGGAGGCTACTACGACGCCGGAGATAACGTGAAGTTCGGTTTCCCAATGGCGTTTACGACCACAATGTTAGCTTGGAGTGTCATAGATTTCGGGAGAAACATGGGGCCGGAGTTAAGGAACGCCGTTAAAGCCGTGAAGTGGTCGACGGATTATCTGTTGAAAGCAACGTCGAAGCCCGGAGTGGTGTACGTACAAGTCGGAGATGCGTACTCGGATCATAACTGCTGGGAGAGGCCGGAGGATATGGACACGCTACGTACGGTGTACAAAATCGACAATGCGCATCCTGGCTCGGATGTGGCCGGCGAAACCGCCGCTGCATTGGCAGCTGCTTCCATTGTGTTCAGGTCACGTGACCCCGCTTACTCCAGGTTGCTCCTCAATCGAGCCGTCAGGGTACGTCACTGTCACTCACCATAACGACTATATATTTTAGGGTAAACTACGCATTTAGTACCTAAATTTTCACTTTTGGTACGTTTTAGTACCTGAACTTTCAATTTTTACAAAATTGGACCAAAAATTTAGTTTTTGTTTCATTTTAACTTTTTGTTTCACTTTAGTACCTTGCTGTTAACTTTTTGTTTCATTTTAGTACCTAAATTTTAATGGTGGAGTACTAAAGTGAAACAAAAAGTAAACTTTAGGTACGGTTTTGAAAAAATTAAAAGTTTAGATATTAAAACGTACCAAACGTAAAACTTTAGTTACTAAATGAGTAGTTTACCCTATATTTTATTACTTTTACTATAATTGTTAAGTTTAGAAGACTCAACAGTAAAAATCAAGTTCTTTTAACCTTGTTGCCGTCAAAACGAGTATTTTTTACCTCTCCGTATTGTAAGTTGGTAATGTACCCTGGAATCACGGGCCGAGAACGTATTTTTTTCACCTTTTGTAGTAATTATTTCAAAGTTAAATATTCGAATTGTTAGTGATTAATGAATGAATAGTAATTTGTTTGGTGGAGATAGTGAAAAGTAAATTTTAGTTGATGCTGTAAGAATAATGCAGAGTACAATTTTGGTGGCATTTTGAATTTATATTTATAGTGTTTTATGGTAAAACTATGCTGGAGAAATGACCGTTAGGCGGGTGAAAAATGAAAATGGAATTTTACTGCAGGTGTTCAACTTTGCTGACCAGCACCGGGGTGCCTATAGCAGCAGCCTGCACGCTGCAGTTTGCCCTTTTTACTGCGACGTGAATGGCTATCAGGTCACATTGATCTTCTTTTTCTCAGTTAATATGAACCGTTGGATTATGATATATGGCAATATACTAAAAATATATATATGTTTTTTTAGGACGAATTGCTTTGGGCAGCTGCTTGGTTGCACAAGGCTTCAAGGAGGCGCGGATTCCGAGAATACATAGTGAAAAACGAGGTCGTCTTGAGAGCCGGTGATACCATTAATGAGTTTGGTTGGGACAACAAGCATGCTGGGATTAACGTCCTCATTTCCAAGGTATAATTAATCCCCGGATTATTATCTGTTTATGTTTTAATTATCCCCGGATTACATATGCTTCTGTGCTTATCACTTTTTGTTTGGTTTGTTTACTATTATAACGTTTCTCTAGTGCAGTGTTCTTATTCTTCTTGTCCTGTGTTCTTTGTTGGGGAATGTAGGAATATTAAGTATTATTTTCTTCCAAGCAAAATATGTAGAAAATCTGGCTCAGTGTCACGTGGCTGGGGAATAACTTTTGATCATTTTCTCTTGGCGGGCCTCGTCTTCTTCCTAATTTTCCAACCCCATTAGTATAGATCCCTTTTCTTAAATACTTGTAGGGCAACTGAAAACAGTTTGCAGAGCTGTCAAATCTTTGACTTATATTATCATAGTCACGAGAAAGAAAAGGTTGGATCTTATTTTCCCAGTTTTTTTAAACCAAAGACAAGTTACTAGTTAGATTGCCATACTTTCTAACATAAAAAATTATACAAGAAATGACCGTACAGCTAGATGGGGGGGAGGAAAAGGGTGTATGATTAATGCACATGTTGATAAGCAAGTATCATTTATGCTTTGACAAACCCAATCTGGACATTCTCTTTAATTACTAAAAAAATAAACATAAATCTGTATTTTTGATGGACTGCCTTCAATTATAAACCGAAGCTTGTGCCGAATTGGAGGTGGCATCTTAGTTTTAGAGATCTGTTTCTTCTCAGTGGGTCCACAATCAGTAAACTACTGGTACATGCATGTGCCTAAAGTCTGGGGCGACGGCTCCCTACAATACTAACCACATTATCTCTGATATTTTTCTTGAAAGTTGATGAGGATTCCTATATGTATATGTACATAGCTTACATGGTTTCATCGTATTCTTGAATTTAATTCGCTTCCTAATAAGTGCACGAATCCTGAATTTTTGGGTTCAAGTTGTTGATGTAATTACCATTACCTATGATGCAGGAAGTGCTGATGGGAAAAGCTGAATATTTCGAGTCTTTCAAGCAAAATGCTGATGGTTTCATCTGTTCATTATTGCCTGGAGTTTCTCATCCTCAAGTTCAATACTCTCCCGGTAAAAAAAATAGTTTCTTTCTATGCACATTAAGCGTTGGATGGCAAATGATTTGATTTTTAATTACCTGCTAAGCAATTTCTTAATCCAGGTGTTTTTCTGAATAAAGAAACTAACCCTCCCCTCCCCCCCCTCTTTTTTTTTTTTTGATGAAAAAGGTGGGCTGATCTTCAAACCTGGGGGAAGTAACATGCAGCATGTAACGTCACTGTCTTTCCTACTGCTAGCCTATTCTAATTATCTAAGCCACTCTAAGAAGGTGGTGCCATGTGGTGAAAGATCTGCCTCCCCTGCCCTCCTCAAACAGTTGGCTAAACGCCAGGTAATATCATCGGTTATTACATTCTTGTTTTGTTTTTATATTAATCAAGGGGACCATATCCCAAACCAGACAAATTCAACGGCTAGGTTTTTCTTTATGATAAATATTCTGTGTGTCACCCATGAATGTTTGATTTGCGTGATCACTATAGAGTTAATAATTGATGATAATTGTGGGAATGTTAGGTGAACTACATTCTGGGAGATAATCCACTAGGGATGTCCTTCATGGTAGGGTACGGTTCACGCTTCCCTCGGAGGATCCATCACAGGGGCAGCTCGTTGCCTTCCGTGGCGGCTCACCCTGCTCGCATCGGCTGTAAAGCGGGATCTGGATACTTCTTGACTCCAAACCCGAACCCGAATTTATTGGTGGGAGCAGTGGTGGGTGGACCTAACGTCGGATGCTTTCCCGGATTCGAGACCTTATTTTCAAGAGTCGGAGCCCACAACGTACATCAATGCGCCGCTGGTGGGGCTCTTGGCATTCTTTTCAGCGCACCCTTGAAAGTATTTCCCCCTCCCAAGCAACGGATATGAAAGGATGATGATGATGAATTGGAAGTGGTGTGCGAAAATGGTCACCCTGCCCTGTTATCGTGAAATGAAAAAGATTCCGATTGTTCCCAATTAACGAAGAAAGTTGAAGCTGTACAATAAAGATTGCGTCTTCTTTTCTTTTGAGAGCAAAGCTCAAATGTCATTATCAAGTTTCAAAGTATGTTTAGAATGTAAGTGTTGATTGCAAAATCGTTTAAAAATTAAAACAAAGAGTTCCCCAAACATCAAAGCACATCCCTTTCGACAGTGATCTTAGTAATTGTAAGTGTTTAACATATTAGCTAGTCGTTGCCCATCAGATTTTGACAGGATTTAACACGTTCAGCACAATGACAAGTGTTCTTGATCCCAAGTGTGTTCGTGTCTCCATAACAGTTTATCAGTTATCGTAGTCACTATTTATCATCGTCACATGTGCTTTAATCCGCAAAATAATAAAAACTCATGTTATGTGTCTTTCAAATTTTAGATTAATTAGGACCGAATATTCAAAATTAAATATGCGTTTAAATTTAAAATTACAGTTGAGTTGTAATTGGGCTACGTTAATACAATCTGTTTTGGGCTCAAATCTGCCTGAACAAAAATGGGTCTTTTTGGCCCATTAGGCTACCCAGCCCAATACTAATAGTATTCATTAAATACTCAAACCGGCCCATTGATGTCACCTTTATTTTGGGGTCAGGTACCCTAGCCCAATACTAATAATATTTATTAAATACTCAAACCGGCCATTCCACGATCCAATTCAAATTTATTCTAAAGGGAAGCCCAACTCATAGAAAAAGGGGTTAACTACAAGGATGGTCATTTATGTTTGTGTTTTGTCCATTTCTGATCATTTATTTTAGAAAACATAAGATATAGTCACTTTCGTTTTTATTTAATTAAGATGCGATCACCCTGATTTAACTGTCGTTAACAACAATTAAATATTTTGATATAATCACACATTTGGTCCATATTATTTACATATTCTCTCAATTTAGTCATGCTTTTAATAAATTAAAATAAATTTAATCATCCAATCGAATGATGTCGCATGTCATGCAACGTGTCATGCCAAGACCATGCTTGGTTTAAAGTAGACAACATGTTGTATATATTTTGTATCTTAGAGTATAAATGCTTAAATTCATAATATTCTATATATATATAATATTATTAACTTAAAAATATTTTATATTAAATGATTAAATATATTTTATTATTAGCTTAACTTAAAAACATTTTTTTTCATTTAAAAATATTTTTTATTTTAAAATTTATTTAAAAATGTGTCTAAATTGAGAGAATGTTTAAATAACATAGACCAAATGTGTGATTATATCAACTATCACGATACATATCATGTTAATTGTTAACAGCAGTTAACTCGTGATGACTACATCTTAATTAAATAAAAATGAAAGTGGTCATATCTTATGTTTTTTTTCGAAATCAGTGATCAAAAGTGGACAAAACACAAATATAAGTGATCAAAAGTGGAAAAAATACAAATATAAGTGATCATCCATATAATAACAAAAAAAACACGCATATTTTCAATTACTTTGACTCATTTTCTTTATGGTTATCCTCACTCTCCAAATATTGTCTTAATTAGACACATGTTTTCCACTTGAAAGGTCATATGATAGTGTTATCTTCCTTGTAGAGTCTTAATAATAATAACAATAACAATAATAAGAAAATTTCTCATAATAAATATATTACTTTCTTTTGATAATAAATAAATAAATAAATTATGTGAGATTGATTTAGAATCTCGATTAATTAAAGTTAATATAAATTATGTGAGATTGATAAATAAATATTATCGTAATCATTGTAAACATTATAGTTATAATTTTTTAATTTATTTTAATACTTTTTTTTAGATACTGAATTTAAACAACTATATTTATAGAGGCTACTTACAAACTGTTCTTATTTTGAAAAGCTTATTTCGAAGGAGTTGTCTTGTTTAAAAAGAGTAATCTAGGTGTGATAGGTGGCATTGAGATATCTGACGTCACCGAATCTGGAGACCGCGGTAATTTCATATTACGGTCCAAGGATATCGTCTTTATCAAAAGAGGAGCCATAGTTTATACGTTTTGTGGATTGATCACCATAAATCCCTTGCTTTCTCTGCACGTGTCAAAATAGATAAACATAAGCACGTATATACAAATAATTAAAGCATTGAGGAGGACACACACACACAGACACACACTGATGTCAACAACTCCAGCCCGCCACCCAACCGCATGAATATTTCGGGCTTCTTCGCCATACAAGTTGTGGGAAAAATAATTTTTCTTTCCCATATATTCACCATATTATTTTTTTAATTAAGATTTTTTATTGGTCTGCGTACACTCTTAAAAGTTATTTTCATTTGTCTGAAGACGTCATATAGTTGTGTGGTCTTCTTCATTTGCCTAAAGATACCATGCAGTCGTAGAATCTTTAAATTTAACTTGAAGACGTGTGATCAGGCCGTGGCAGGGTTTTCGGGGGCCTTGTACAAATTCGTATAAAGGGGTCCTATTTTCTAGATATATTCGATTTCGGGGCAATAATAGTGGCGTTTTCTTAACAAACGCCGCAATAAATCCATCTATAATGGCGTTTTATCAATAAAGCCACAATAATAGTGGTGTTTTTTTGAAAAAACGTCGCAATAGGTCTATCTATAGTGGTATTTATTGGTAAAACGTCACTACATTTTTTTGAGCCCCATTTTTTGAGGGCCCTGCACGGTCGCGCAGTTTGCGCCCCCCAGCCACGGCCCTGCGTGTGACACATGACGTGTTTAGGTTGATATTGTTTAATTCACTCTTTATGGGAAAATAATCCCCAATGAACTATATTGAGAATTAAAAAATTACACTTGCATTATCTCAACCATTTTACTGGATATTTCATATTCATATGTTTCTATTTTTATCTCAACCATTTTACCGGATATTTCATATTCATATGTTTCCAGATTTATCTCAAACCACCAAAAATCTCATTTTTTACATATTAATTTATTTTATTATATGTACAAAAATAATACATTTTATTTACTGCAGTTCTGCATATTATATATAATATACAGATCTACGGTAAATAGATTTGATATATATATACACCGTTGTTTGAGTCACTCAAATTTGAATCTACGAGAGAATTATTTGATATTATATAAAGAAAACTTTAGTTATATAAACAAATCGAAAGAGGGTATATTCATGTTCGTTCGTGTCTTTAATCGAACGAATACGAACAGTTAGATGAATAAAAAAATTTATTCGTATTCGTTCATTAAGAAATTTAGTTTGTTCGTATTCGTTTATGTTTGTTCATTCAAATGATAAACAAGCACAAACAAACGAACATAAAATTGTTTGAGTTTATATTTGAAAATATTTTTTTCTTTTCAAATAATTTTAGGATTTATATTTTGATTTGAGTATTTTTTTTATTTGAGTTAAAATTAATTGAATTTAAAAATATTGATGGGTTTAAGATTAAAATTTATTAAGTCTTAATATTTAAAATTGTTATGCAAAACGTAAACGAACATATTATCAAAATTCACAAACTTAAATGAACAAACGAGCATTTTATTTGTGTTCGTACATTAATTAAACGAACATAAAATTTTGTTCATGTTCATTCGTTTTAATAAATGAAAGAACATAAACAAACTTCTCACCGAATGGTTGAATGTTCGTTCATATTCATTCGTTTTAATAAATAAAGAAATATAAACAAACTTCCCGCCAAACGATTTACTGAACATTCAGTTCGTTTACAAGACTTAGAAAACTCCAAATGAAGCAAGCAAAAGAAGGGTCTTAAATGCATATTGTTACTACCGTGTAACAACAATTGAATGGGGTTACAAAGTAGCTAAAACATCCACATTAATATTACAAAGAAAAAGCAAAAGGACAACTACTGAATGAGCTTTAGTTGATGGCAATTGACCACAGTCAATATTACACTTCTTTAATGCACACATAATATAAACTTCGCCTTCTAATAATTCCGAATCATAAGCCATGTAATTTACCCTCCTTGGTTGCCGACAGAGAGGTCATCGTTGTTGCTGCGGAGGGTAGCGGCAAAGTTCAGGCGTTCGACTCCAATGTAGCTGCATAATCTATAGACTTCTTGCTAAAATTGTATGGTGATGCTGCATTCATTACCCTACGGGAGATTCGTTCAAGCGCGATATCAGACATCCAGCTTTGATTAATTGTATTTAACCATGCATCCTATACGTCTAGCGACTTTTTGACTAAGGATATTAGTAGTTTGAAATAGTTTCAAGAACAAGTATCTTGAAAAAAACTAACCTTTCCTTGCGCTTCTCCAAAAACCGAGCCAAGGAAGCTTTGCGAGCCTGTGGAACTGGAGGCAAAAGTTACAAATGAATAATGCAACGTTCCGAACTACAAAATTAGTTAAAAATATGGATGCAGGAACAGAAAATCTTGTAAGAGCATAAGTGTGCATACCGGAAGGCATCATGCCTGTGGCAGCAACAGATCCCATTGCAGTTACCAATTTCGGAGCTTCCAATTTGCTAATAGGGGTAGATGGGGTTGGTGTTCCTGAGGTCTTGCATATCATCTGATCTTCAGTATTAGTGGACCCAGTCCCGGACTGAGCAGCAACAGCATGAGGGCTCAACATACCGGAGTTTAGTTGTGTATTTATGATATGGTTAGCCGGAACATTTTCAACTGGAACCGGCTTCAAAACAGGAGCCTGGACTTGGACTTTTGGAAAAGCCGAACTAGAAGCCATGGAAGAGCCATTCCCAGCCAAGAACATTATAGCCTGAGCCTGTATGAGATTCAAAAAGAAGGGTTAACTTTCTAAGCATTCCACCGACTTAAAGATCGTTAAAACAAATCATTTTTAGTTTTTACTAAAATGGAAAGAAAAAGGTGCACCTTCTCAGGAGTAATATCATTAAAGACGTTCACTTCGCCGGCATAAAAGATGGTCAGTTGAGCAGGTGATCCATAGGCCTTGACGCTTTTCCTAATCATAAAAAAGATAAGGACCAAGTCTCAATACCTCACTGTCAACAATCTTGCTGCAGTAACTGAACTACAGGGTAAGATTTTCAACTTTACCGTGGTTCAACACTTCCACCAACAGAACAAAGGGTGGGAAGAATCGTATGTGGAGTCGTCACCGGAATCCCTCCAACATATTGTGGTCTCATGCTATTAACAGGCAAATTTTGACCGGTGGTAGCATACTGATTCTTCATAAACGGTGCACGGTTTGAGGCCGGAAACATCTTACCACCGTGTTGAACATAAGAAGGTGTCAATGGAAAATGACTCCCGCCTATCCTACTGTGGTTGAGTGATTTCTAGATTGCAAAAAGTCAAATGGGGAAGCGAAAACAATATCAGTTCGAGACCTCGCATAGTGAAATGATATCTAAAGACTCGATCGAAATGGTAATCAAGCAGCCTAATCCAGAACAGTGAAAGCAAGGGGGTTGTGTCAAACCTGAAGTTCAGTAGCATCCATTGTCGAGGTAGGCATGAACATAGGGGATACTTTCGGATCATATCCGACCTTTTTAATTTTATCACCTTGAGCAAAATCAAAGTTCATCAGCTGTGAACAGCAGAAATTTTGTTTGAAAAGTGCCATTGTATCCCTGAGCTCTTAGTAAAACCTAAAAAATCCCAAACAAAAATGAATAAAACACCACTAAAATTTGAAAAATGAATAGCTATAGCAGGCGCAATTCTCATAACCAAATAACTTGACATGATTTTCTATGAACAATCATCAGTTTAATTACTTACATGATTCCATTCCAGTAATAGATTTCTACGAATAAATGATTTTATCATAGTTATCCAAGCCAAGAAATAAATAAACTGAATTAAACAAACACTTCTACTAACAAACACTAGTCACTTAATCCCTCCTATTTTCCCACTAAAATATCATAATTCAACTCCAAATTCAACCATAACCCAAATTTTAGAACCGCATAAGAGAACAAAAGAAGCAATCTTTAAAAGAATTTCCAGGAAAACTAAAGAGAAAAGAAGAGCATACGCACCTTTGTACTCATCAGTGTTAGCAACCACAACCAATGGTTCCTTTGAATGCAAACCCAGAAAATCTCTCTCCATTGTTCTTTGACTCTCTTGTTTCAAAATTCAAGCAAAACCCACCTCAAAAATCAACTCCAAAACCTACGTAAAAAAATATTTCAATTCCTACGAATCCCCTCTTCTCTTTTTTCCTTTCTCCACCAAACACGAAAAATATAAAAACTGAAGCCGAAGTGCTTTCCTACGGGTGGAAGAAAATAAATAATAAAGGCTAAGAAAGACAGTTGTTTTATAGCACAAATCTACCCAACCATCACGTCCTTTAAAGATTTATTTATCATTTTAATTTTTTTATTAAACTGACATGATTATAATATATATATTTAAATACTTTTAATTGTTTTATAATAAATGTTGAATTATTTTTACTGTCGAATTTATCGGTGCTCAAGATGTAAGTTTGTTAGATTTTCATATATATATATATATATATGAATTCAATTTTTTTTAATCTTACTGTGATTATAAAATAATATATTTTTTGTTTAATTTTTTAATCTATTAATAATATATATACCTATAAAAATAGATGTTCGAATTTAAAAATGATAGGAAAGTAACATGAATATAATATGAATTTCCACTATTTAGACAAGTGTGAATATCACCGGTAAAAAACGGTAATGTAACCGGATAAACCCGTCAGGGAACACGTGCTTTGGCTTTAACTTCTAAACGCAAATAAGTGCCTAAATAAGTGCCCAAACTATATTTTTTATGTTAAAAAAGTAACTATAATTTTTTTGTCCATTCGAGTATCTAATGTTACAAATGTTAGTCGTTTAGGTGCTCGGACCATCAATACCATTAGTTTTCCCGTTAAGTGACAAGTGTCACAACTTGATAATTTTTTTTTTAAATATTAAAAATATTATTATATTTGTAGAACCCTAACTATTCTTATATTATAAAAAACCCCAAAATCTCAAATCATAAACTTAATCAATCGTCGTCATCGTCGCCCTCTCCGGCCACGATCACTGTCGCCGACATAGTCCTTGTCATCATCCTAGTTATATGTCGCCGTAGTTGCGCTGGTTCACCATCGGAATTGTGTGGGATCGCGATTTTCATCCTAGGGTTCACGAGATTTAAACCATCAATTTGTCGTCGATCGGTCGTCAACCGGTCATAATTTCACAGGGGTTTTGGTCGTCAAGTGGAGGGGAGGTCGGTGGAGCTTATTCGACGACAAAGGCTACGGTCGGCATGGATTTAGGGGTTGAATGAAGATTTTCAAAGTTTAGAGACTATTTCAAAATTTATGTGTTTTCCTTTTAAGAAATATATACTTTTATTTTTTAAATTTTATATAAATTTTTAAAATTATCAGTTGTGGCACGTTCCACTTAACATGGAGAACTAACGTCGTTAACGGCCCAGACACCTAAATGGCTAACGTTTGTAACGTTAGACACCCGGATGGGCCAAAAAATGTAAGCACTTATTTGGCATAAATGGTATAATTTGGGCACTTATTTGGGCATTAAGCCTTTTTCCCTTTAGTCCGATAGATTGACACGTGTCAAACACGTGATGAAGTTTGATCCTCCTCGCTCGTGAACTTAATTGCAATTGAATTGCTCAATTTTAATTTTTGGCCATTTTTGGTGGCCGACTAAATTGAACATATTTTATGTTAAAAAAGTACAATCATAATTATGGGATAAATTTTATTTCAATTTAATGATAATGTATAAATGCTCTGTAAAATTTGTTGTTCAAATCTAATTTTTTTTTAAAGAAATCAATATTTTCCTTTATCATTAAAATCATTTAATAGATTTACTCCCTTACTTAATATTGGAACTGTCTTAATAAAAAAATTCAAATAAATATATTAAGTGATAAGTAATTTGATATCGTTTAAGTAAGGTATCAGGTTCGAGTCTTTGTGTATGCAGAAAATCCCCGTTGGGAGACTCACCCACCAAAATCATATGAACAACCTGAGTCGGTCCAGATTAATCAATACTAAATCTTAGAACTGAAAGACAACAAAAAAATTTCATATAAATATAGAATATTATAAATGTAAAATAATTAACCACGTAAGCAGAAATCATTTAAATGAAGTTAAAGAGATTTAATAAATTAAAGCTACTAATAAGCTTATCATTAGCTTAATCAAATTAAATAAAAATAGTTTATATTGTTTTAGTTTTTAAGATTTAATTTATATTTAGGGAGATTAACTTTTTTATAACTATTGAATGAGAAAAATTCAAGATTAAATTTTTTTATTTTTATTTATTTTTTTTCAGTGAATATATTCACATTTTCTAGAATTAATTTCTCGCATCAAATCTAATAAAGTTTAATATGAATTCATTCGTTTTTTTTAATTTAAAAAAATCAATGCAATTATTTCAATTTATGATGTAAAATTACTTTCATTTTACATGAACTAAAACGTGACTGAAATGATTAATAGATAGATATCAAATAATTGGGTGGTCATCACTTGGACAGCAGTCATTGTCCTATCGATTTAATATTGCAATGCCCACCACAAAGTTCACACGCGTAAAACATTTCTTTATGGTAGGAATTAAGTGTTTGACCGAATTTGATATACTTAATAATTTAAACAGGTAATAATTTATATTAAAAATATTAACTTAAAGATTATATTAAAAAATTTACGATTACAAAATTTTAAGAGTAAAAAAATTAAATAATTAATAAAATTTATTTAAAATAAAAAAGATCTAAATTTTAAAGGAATGAAACCGCACCCCAACCCTCTGAGCACATTATCTTAGGATGTTTAGTTTTACTTTCCTTTCATTCAAAAATAAATAAAATAAATAAACTCTGCATTTAATAATTAAACAATCAGTTTTATTTTATTTTAATATCACACCGTTAAAAATTTAACGCTTTTAGAACCTGAACTATCAATTTTGGTCGTTTTAATACCTAAACTTTCATTTCACCCCCAAAAGTTAACGTTAAATTTTGAACGGGATAATAAAATAAAACAAAAATTAAACTTTAGGTATGATTTTGAAAAATTAGAAAATTTAGGTACTAAAATAAACCAAAAACTGATAGTTTAAGTATTAAATGCATGATTTAACCAAAAAAACTATAGTTTTTTCAATTTAACATTTTTAGGTAAATTTGTATAGGTATTAATAGTTTAAGCGTGCATACGTCTAGAAGAAATGGTCAAGAGAAATATGTGGCTTTAAAATCAGGATAAGCTTGAATCACTCTTTTGATTTTTTTTTATAAATACAATATACAATTTCATTTTTTTAAAAATAATCCAATAATCACAAAAAAATAAAATAAAATTATTTTTCTAATTGTGTGTTTAAAAAACATTTATATGCACATGGAAAGCTCCATTAAGAGTATTTATTTTAAGAAAATATTCTCAATCATTTTATATAAAAATAATTGTGTACTTAAAAAATAATTATATGCACATGGAAAGTCCACTGTGCGCTCCCAAGAAATCTTAAAATATTTTTGGGTAAACTATGCATTTAGTACCTAAACTATCGATTTTGGTCCATTTTAGTACTTAAATTTTTAATTTTTTAAAATCATACCTAACGTTTAGTTTTTGTATCATTTTAGTATCTCCTCGTTAAAAACTTAACGCGTTTAGTACATAAGTTATCCATTTTGGTCCGTTTTAGTACTAGACTTTCATTTTTTTTTTCAAAACTTAACGTTAAGTTTTTAAAGGGTACAAAAATGAAATACAAACTAAACTTTAGGTATAATTTTGAAAAAAAAATAAAAGTTTAGGTATTGAAATGGACCAAGACTGATAATTTAAGTAATAAACTCATAATTCACCCAATATTTTTATTTTAGAAACAATTTGTTTAAATTAATTAGAGTTAATTACATCTAATATAAGTAAACTATGATTTTTATTCTAATTTTGTCTATAAACTTTTAAATATTTTAATTTCATTTTCAAATTAGGACTCTCGCTTTAAATTAATCTTTAAATTTTTGAATATTTTAATTTCATCCCCAAACTATGACCATTATTCTAAATTGGTCCCAAAACTTTTGAATATTTCAAGTTCATCCAAACTATAGACATATGTTTAACTATGATTGAAATTAATTATGTAGTTGGATTAATTTTGAGATTAAATTGGAAGATTCAAATGCTTCTAGGCCAATTTAGAATGAAGATCATAATTTGAGAATGAATTTGAATATTTAAAAACTTAAAGATTAATTTAGAGTAAGAGTCATAACTTGAGATCATAGGACACAATTAACTCAATTGATTAATTAATTATTCTTGTTTTCCACTTTAAGTTGACAAAACAATTCATATATTTTTATTTTTGAGTTTATTTATTTTTTGATTAATATGAGTAATTATGAAATAACATATGTTTAAAGACAATTCTTAACTATTTGACATTAAATGTTTACATTCTTAATCTTTCTGGTCTTCGAACTCGAAACCTTAAAGAATAACAACAATTAATTTATCAACAAGATCACTTGGTTCGTGCATGTATACGATGGTTTATGATGGTAGAACTTAGCCCTATTATCCTAGATTGTATAATTAGATTTTTGGGTAAAGTATGTATTTGGTCATCAAATTATTCTCGGGATTTCATTTTGGTCATCCAACTTTTTTTTTTACAAATGTTGAGGGCTAAAATGTTTTAAATAAGGAAAAAAAGTAATTATTTGTACAAACGTTAGGACTAATTTTATCATTATATCTTTTAAAAAATTAGGATAAACAATGCATTTAGTACCTAAACTATCAGTTTTGGTCGGCTTTAATACCTAAACTTTCAAAATTTTCAAATCATATCAACTATTTAGTTTTCATTTCATTTTAATACCTCGCCGTTAAACCTTAACGCGTTTACCCCAAACATTTAATCTTTTCAAAACTTATCGTTAAATTTTGAACATGTGTACTAAAATGAAATAAAAACTAAAGTTTTTAACGACGTGTAATAAAATGAAACAAAAACTAAATTTTAGGTATGATTTTAAAATAACTAAAAGTTCAGGTACTAAAACAGACTAAAATTGATAGTTTGAGTACTAAATATGTAATTTACCCAAAAATAAAAATAAGAGTACCAAAATTTAAAGAGTATGAATATTTTAACATTATTTCTTCCCCCCTTTCGTGATCCACCGGATTTAGGTGACAATGTAAATCATCAATCAATTCTACATTGATAAACCGATAAAAGTATAAACCAAGCAAATAATGTAGCGATAAATGGTTAATAATATACCCACTGAAGGAGACAAGCCAAAAAGAACATGTTCCCCCGACCCTGCATTAGTCTTCTTTACGTTCCATCAATTGGCTTCTTCACAGAAAGCAAAAGTGGAAATTATTGTTTATAGACCCTCTGTTTTTGAAATGATTCTCTATGGCCATGTGATCAAATGAGCATACGCCATCATACGATATATATGGCATCGTCACTGCTCATGACGTGCCAAAATCTTTGAAGAGTTTTGGGGGCTTGCATGAAATGGACTAGACCAGTCACATGCTAGTTTATCGACCCTTCTTTTAAGCACGTGCTAGTTTAAGTTAGCTAACCAATTTTAGACGTCTTTTTTTGATAGGGACATAGGGCCCCTCGGATCTTGTCGGATAATATTTCCCATGTGATGTGCTCCCTCGTAACCCCATATTTTCATAATATTTGTTTGGAGATCGTATTCTTGTGAATCAGTGTTAAAATTATTATCTAATCATTTTAATTTAGATGAAAAACTGTGATCGAAAGTAAGGTTGAGGAAGAAAAAAAGAGGGTTTTTTCTTCTCTATGCTTACACGAAGATTTATATATTGACCTTTAATAGATGTTAGACCTAAAATCATATTAGTTATTCGTGAATCAGCTACACAAATAAATATGACTGTTAAATAATATATTTGATTATGAGAAATCACAAAGACTGTTTATGATCATATCAAAGAAGAATAATTGATTGGAGGACGTGAAACTCTGAAAAACTTCATTTAACAAAAGAATTCTTCGGGAATTCTTGTTACTTAAAAAGATAAGAAAATCCGAAGGAAATACAATAATATTTATAAATAAATATAGTTGATTTAAAATTGTGTTTCTTGAACTCTAACATGTCACTAAAAGCATAGAATAATTGAAAAGACCATAAGTATTAAAGAGTTTACCATTGATGAAAATTAAGCTAATGTTTCAAGACATTTCTTAATGAGTCCATATCGCTTAAGAAATACATTAGGACATGAGTTTATCTATAAAAAAAAACATGAACTCCTTAGATTTTTTTGATAGATTCGTATGTTCAACCGTGTAAGAGTTCTTTCAGTTGGTTACTAGGGGTTCAATCATTTCCAAGAGTTCATTCGAAAGCCCTGTGAAGACGATCGAATCGGTTTCGATCGGCTTGAACTTGATGAGAGCTGAAGGGACCAAATCCTCGTCGTCCAGTGTTCGTGGTTTCTGTCCGGCTGCCGGAAAAGATGGTATCACTCGCCGTTTGACCAGAACTGGATCTAACAACTCGAACTCCAAGGAGGGTTCTTTCAGTGATGAGCTGACAAACTGGAGATCATAAAGAACGCAATCACTTAACATATTCTAACAGAATGAACAAACTAAGCATGCAGTCTTCCAAAGGCTAAACGATTTTAGCTCGATGCAATGCACGACATAAACGAAACCGGAACTGCTAATGTCCGTAAACAACAAGCTAGTTTAATGTTTTAAGATGGTCTCAACTTTCATTTTTAGATAACTGAAGAAACTGATAGGAAGAAATAAATGCTGTTAGAAAACAGGACTAACCTTGTAGAGATTGCTAGTTGGTTCCCACGGAGCGAGAACGGCTTGAAGGACGACTCCGTCGGGGAACTGGATGCGGATCATTGTTCTTCGGTACTTCCTCCGGGTTGCTTTTGCCTGCTTTTCCTTGTAAGATTTAGGGATTAGTAGCTGGGATTCCGCAATCTTTTTCCTTCTCAATTCTGCTTCTCTCTTCAACTCGTCAGCTGATAGGTTATAGAAAGAATCCGGTAGCTCGATTTTCGCAGCTACACTCTCGGGTACGGAGAAGAAGACCCGGATCTGTAATGACAAAATTCATGTTATAGTGTCAAACTTGTGCATACTTAATGAATATCAACATGGAACAAGATGAACTAGGATGAACAATTGAAATGACAAGCAAGTTTACAGAAAACAAAAACAGAGAAACGGAACGATCGAACCGAAAGCAATATGATCGAGTTTTGTACTAGTACTCTAGAAACGTAACAAGGCGAGTTCATACACATAGAACAGCATACAATTCATTGCTTGTATAACAAGTCAATAAAAATGGCAGCAAACAATGCATTACTTGGAACAAGATCATTTACCTGTCTGTCAATCTTCTTTGGTTCAACCTTTTCCTCTTTCTCACTATCACTGGTCTTAATATCATCCGTCTTCCCCGGTTCCAACAACATTATCACCCTATCGATCGAAGTGATCTTCTCCCTTTCAGGAACATCCATGACTGCAAACATTTCTCCTCCTTCTTCCTTCAACACAAATCCAACATGCTCCAACAGCTCAACACCTCCAGACACATTGCCGACAGCTTCCCTTATCTTCGGATTACTCATCCGAATCTTCCTGAACTTGTCATTCCCAGGTTCCTTGACTATGTTCCTCAACAACCTAAGAACAACCTGAACCGACCCTTCCGGTGGATTCCCTAGAAGATATGAACCAACACAAATTTCGAATTCATCCCTCGACGACTCTTCGTGTTCCTTCCCATTCGATTCCGTATCGGTATCGCCACCTTTTCTACCGGACGAATTAGTTTTAACACAAATTTCTACATGTTCAGATACCTCCTCTTCGGTCCTATAGGGAGCACCACAAATCGGACACTCCAACATATTCAAGGTGAACCCATTTTTGGATACCTTGCTAGAAGTGATCAATGAACCGTAAGGATCAAACCCATTTTCCGGTTTCCGAGTCGGTTCGGTATTATCGGTGGAAACAAGCTTGTTTTGATCGGAATTTTCCGGTTTTGAAGGCAAAGAAAGCTTGGAATCCGAAGATGATGATTGTGGAGGAATAGGATTTGGAGAAGCGGTCTGAGCTTGGGAGGGACGGGTAGGGATCTGGTTAACAGGTCCGGATGAAGAAGAACCCAAGACTCGACCTTGGCCTTTGAAATTACCAGATGATGAGAATTGGTTGTTAACTTTATTCATGAATCCACTCCATTTCTCTTTCATAGCCATTGTTTCCAAAAACTGAATGATAATGAAAACATTATCAATAACAACAACAATGATGATGATACAGAAATTCTTAACCGTTAAGAATCGAGAGATGTCATTAGCAGTTGGAAGTTTGGAATTGTTAAAAGATTCCAACGACAAACACGCTGTTCAAACAGCCTCGATTTCGCTGTTCTCAACCAATTACATTCCACCACGTATGCACGGGCCCCTACTTTTTTATTTACCCGCCTCAATTGGTCATTGGTTGTTGTTGATTCAGCGGTCCATTTTTTTAACCTTTTTGTTAAGTATAGAAAAATATTTTAATTTATATTAAATATTTAGTTATGTTATGTATATAATACATGATAAAAATAAGGTAAATTATAAATTTGATAATTGAAGTTTACTCTCTCTTCCATTTCATTGTATTTTAAATCTTTTTAATTTCATCATTGAAACTAATACATTGAATTTTCTATCACGCAACCGTTTTTTCACGAACGACATTATAAATGATCTTTTATATAGATGTAAAACAACGTCGTTTTGGTATTTTTTTTAAAATGATATCGTCTTAACATTGTTAACTATTTAACGACAGAATAAAAAAAGAAAAAGAAAAAGAAAGCTCTATGTATTAAGTTCAATGAGTAAATTAAAAACTTTAAAATTCAACGACCAAAATAGGAGTAAAATTTAGTGATGAAATTTATTAATTTACCCTAAAAATAAAAATAAAATATATCTCAAAATTGAAAAAGTGTCTGATCAAATCTAGTTTAATCCCACGAACTAGCTTTTGCTCTAATTATATTTGTATATTTTGTGTACCAATTTTTTTTACCTAATGATAATTTTAGTCCATACTAGTTTGAATTATTCTCAAATTAAACCTTAATCCTAAATTTCAAATTAAATGCATACTAACTCCTTTTTAATTTTGAAGTTAAACAATTTAACCCACTTATTGTCGAACCCTGACTCCGTCCTGTACGTAGAATGACCAATTCATATTGAAAGGAAAAAAAATCTTAAATGTTTTTGAATATATAAACATAAAGCACTACCCATCTGAGTAAAATTTACAGTGAGAAAACAAATTCATAAGAAGAAAGCATCTAAGACTAGAGGCTGTCAAGCTTTTTTATGGTTACCCATTAGTCATAGACAAAGATGCCGTTGTACAGGAGAAAGCCAATGCCGAACTTTACAGCATTCGACACGGTTCTAGCACAACTTGTGGTACCGGTTGAAGTTCTTCAACATCCACCCTTCAGCAAACCAGTAACACTAAAAGTAGTGACCGGATAAAGATTGTTTTTGCCCTTGTTTTCCAGCAGATGGCTAACCAGAAACATCATTGTCGTTCCTTCATCAACGAGTCATTTTGTGGTTTGGGATTCAAACATGATCCAAAAATATATATAAAGGGATTAACTATAGTTTACCGGAATAATCCAAGCATCAGGAAGGGATTTTCATTCCTTCCTCAAAGTACTGAGTTCAACCAGAACCAGTAGCTTCAAAAGTCATCATGATTCATGAATGGATGATCATAAGCTGCAAGTTAATATAGCAAATGAGCAAAGTAGCTCAGAACTCAGACAAACAGAAAAGTTCACCCATAGACTAAAGTCTGCAGACAATAGGCTTACCGAAAAAGACTTACAGCTAACTCGATGAAAGCCGAAAGGCGCCATCTTCATTAAAAAATGAATAACTACAAGTAAGGCAATTGTCCTAGCTGAAGACCATCTAGAATCAAAAGCTAAACAAAGCAATTGCCTAGTTTCAAATGCATGAATCAAAAATTTCTTAGGGCGACTGACGAAGAGAGCTATAGATGAGTACGCAAATTGAGACATTGGATATTGCAGTTTCAACTTTCAATTATGCCCATTCGATCATTGTCTAGCCTTGCATAGCTAAATCCCAAATGATAATCAACCTGTTCTAATTGATATTGCAGTCCTAAATTTCAACTCCAAAAGCAGTTTTCAATATTGAAGCAATAGCAGAAATTTGAACCAAATCTCAACTTTCTTTCGTAATCAAATCACAAATTCAAAAACAGAGATGCAATAATGACATCATATTATTATAACTATCGTAAGATAAACATTCCAAATCATCCAAGCACATCAGTAAGGAAATCCAAACAAAAGATTATTAAAAAAAAGGAAAAGAAAAAAAGAAAGTAGTCCAAATACAACAGATTTAACATTCACATCACTTATTGTCAACACACCTTTTCGTCCTACTAGAATTCAAACTCCTAAAGATAGGATAGAATTTTGCTAGGATTCAAAAAATATGATAGAGTTCTACTATGATTTAAACTCCTAAAGATAGGATCCACAAGCACTATAAATAGTCATTGTAACTCACTATTGTAAGACACGATTTACGTACAAAACATAGAGGAAAGCACGGGAAGATACAAAGGCAAAGCTATTGTAAAGGATTCGAAAAGGAAATAAAAGGTAGCATTTTCTTTTTTCTTTCTTTTGCATGTGCACGTTATTTTTCTTGAGATTTGGTTCGAATAACCCAAAATGTGGGTTGCGCCGATGACCAAAATGGGTAGGGTTTCGAAGTTTCGAACCTAGATCTACCCTGAGGCTTATTTTGAAAAACCGGTTTGATTTTCGGTTAAAGGAGGGGAAGAGCTTTTTAAAAATCTATATTAGTCCATTTATTTATTATATGGATATTTTATTTATTTATTTTTATTATTTATGTTATTATATATATATATATATATATATATATATATTTCTTTAATATTCTACTTATGAGTCTATTATTACTATATATATTGTAATTATCTTTATCTAGTCATATATTTTTTTATACTTTTAATGGTTGATTTATATACCTATTATTAATATATATATATATATATATATATTCTTAATTATTTTTATTTGATTATTTTTTTTATTTACGTAATATATCTTATAACTTTATATATATATATATATATATCGTTTTTTATTTATTATTATTATATTATTTTAAAAAAATCTTGTGTCTTTATCATTATTATTATTAAACATTATATTATATATTACTAACCTAGAGGACCCATTTTTTGTCTTATTTCTGACTAAAGACCCTCACTTTCGGTGAAGTGAGAGGGTAACTTTTCTATTTTTTAATACTTTGATGTATACATATATATATATATTTTTCCTTTTTCAAATATTACTATATATAATTATTACTTTACTATTGTTTTTCCTTTATCTTATTTATTTATTTTATTTATTTTATTTTTCCCTTTTACCTTATTTGTTTTATTTACCTTGTTTATCTAACACATTTCTCGATTTTTTAAGGATATTTTCAAATCAATAAAGGGTAAGTAATTGGGGTCGAAACTTTACCTTTTAATTTAACTTGTTATTTTTCTTAATTAAGACAACTGGAAATTACGTAGTACCGAAAGGGCGGTTCAAGGGTGCTAATCCTTCCTTGACCGTAACCGACTCCCGAGCCCGACATATTTCTGGTAAGACGCAGATCAGGTAAGAAATAGGGTATCCGATCAAACCCATTTATTTTTAAATAAATGATCGGTGGCGACTCCAATCCATTTTCCTAAGTCGAAGCCCAATTCCGGGGCCCAACCGAAAGACGGTTACGACAGCTTGGCGACTCCGCTGGGGACACAGGTAAGTGAGTCAGGCTAAGGTAATTTCCAGTTGTCTTTTTAACGAAAAGGGTAAGTTTAAATTTTAAGGTAATATTATGATCCTTTTTACTTACTTTTGATTATATTTTCGAGTAAATAGTTGGACTAACCGTTTTCTCATGATTTCAGCCTTCAAAGTTTTTTTTTTCATCTAAGGCTCTATACCCGAGCTCCAATTCCTTTTAAGTGGGGGTGAAAGCGACGCCTTCGTGTGAATTTATTCACCGTGTGGGCCTAGCAAGTAGCCTTCGGGATACATATACCTTATGCCTTCGTGTGAATTTATTCTCCGTGTGGGCATAAGGGAATGTTTCCTCTCGAGTTTAACTCAGTCCATACAAGCCTGTGATGGGTTTAGGACTAAGGGTCTGGTAAGCCAAAGGGGGCACCAACAAGAAGAACTCGGGTACCGTTTTTTTTAGAACCTAAACCGGGAGATGATGGAGAATTAGAGCCCACCCCAAAACCTCATTTCAAACCCTAGGATGCCGGAATTATTTCCTGCTTTACTTTCTGTTCAAAGCATGCGAACTAGACAAATATGCGGTTAGGATTTGTGTGAAATTAGCATACGGGATAGAGATCATGTCCGGGTAGGAATTAAAGCATGCGGGGTAGATATCATGTGGGGTAGGATTTTTCGTTTTTATTATTGTTTTGATTTATCTCACTAACTCTTTTTTACTTTTGTTCTCTTTTATTTTGTTTTCATTATTTGCATCATTTAAAAGAGGTGTTGATCCACCAAAAACTTGTTTGTTAAAACATGAATAATCTGCATTAATGGACAAAGGGGTTGTAATACAAGAGATAAGAACGCAGGGGTCCGGCTATGGTCCGAAAAGGGCTCAGAAAGAAAATGAGGACAATTTGCAAGACAACTATGTGTCACATTCATGGTGCCCACAATCAAGTACATCAAAAGTTAACTTTTCAAAAATGGGTTGACAAAGGTGGCAGGGGCAAGACGAGAAAAAGGTTACTGACCTCGAGAGTCCATTCAAAGACAACAAGAACAAGATGGCAAGTCACTGTCGACAAATTCAAGAAAGAAGCAATTGAACTTCGAATAATCCCTTTGATGGAGGATTTCAATGGAATTTCCGATTCAGCAAAGGATGAAAGCCATAGATGAATTCATTCGACACTTTTTGGGAACCAATACAAAATAACTCAACATTTTCACGGTTCATCCAGAGAGGCCGGAGCGGTTCGACAGGTTATTCAACCGGTGAAAGACGAAGGCAAATGACTAGTCAACCGGTTCCGGGCCTAGAGGATTTAGTCCGGATGTACCTTTAAATATGTTTATTGTCTCTTAAAAGATAAAACACTTTTGTCCCAATAAAGGTTATTTACAATAACATACATGTTTTTGGATCAATGCCTCGAACATTTCATGCATTTTTGCATTTTGCATATACATTTCAATTTTTAAGTATTTTCATAAACATGAAATCTCTTCATGGAGAATTCGATGAAGTGGTTTTAACCACATGACACCACATGGAAGCAAGATTGTAACATCATAAAAAAACTATCACAACGAATGAGCCCAATCAGCTGGTTGTACGACTAAACCTGCCAAGATGATCTGAGAAAAAAGTCCACATATCCTAAGGGCTACAATGTTGAAGCTATTTGTAGTTGCCACATAGGATGCTCCAAACATTCCTCTGAGAACTATAAGGCGCTGAAGCGCAAGATCCAAAACCTGATGGATTCAGGGGCATTGACAGCCGAAGAAGGGGGCATAGCGTATACCATTTGCACTTAGAGGATTGTTTTGTTTGAACACGTCACTGATATTTCATGTTTGCTTAATCTTTTAAACGATTGAATTTATGCTACTTTCTAAGGTGGAGCAATTGAACAAATTTTAATCTTTAGTTCTTCGAATTAATGAATTAAGGATTCTTTTAACTCTTCAAGAATTATAGATTTTTGACATATGACAAGATTAGACCTTTCTTATCATGTCTCAAACCCCAAAATGAAATACCTTGATCATTACCAAAAGACCAAATTTTGACATACCTTCCCTTGAAATTCTTGAACATTGTCTTTATCTTTTTGATACACCCATACCTTTCTTTGAGTCAAATAAAGTCACACCATTGTCTTTTTAGACTCACAATTGACATTTTAATACCCAAGGCATTGAGTTGTTCATTTGAACATGAGCATTCTTCTAAGACACAATTTGGGGCATCTCGCCGGGAGCCTGAACATTGAGATATGTTGGGAGCAAGGAGCAAAAAAAACAATTCATTCGAAATAATTCTATCACGCATTAACTACACTGTTTTCATGTGAATGAAATTAATCCTGAAAATCTATCCCCCTGGGGATACCTCTTCTCTGAGGACTTCCATGTATGAAATGATGAACGGCTTTCTTTCTTTATCCCTTTACAACAGGAGAAAATATATATCCCTTGTGTCCCCTTTTGAGCATGTAGTCTTTTTCTTCTGATTCAACCCTAACCAAGGATCACCCTCCACACTGGGGGGCAATGTGGAAGAAATCTGCTCACATGAGTGAAGACATCAATCCAAAGGAGTTACCAAAAGGTGAACCAGATGCCAAGTGCAAATATTTAATCAGAATAAAAAGGGCAAAAAGAAAAAAAAAAGCAAAAAAAAAAGCAAAAAAAGAACAAAAAGAAAAAAGAAAAAGGGACAAAAAAACACATGCAAAGATTCCCTAAAGACAAATGGCACATCAAGCTTCAAACTACGAGATTGATCAAGCACAATCATTCCCGAATCACTTCACTCGAAGATCATAGAGCATCAAGAGAAAGAGACATTTTGAGCAAGACAAGATTAAAGGCATCAGAATGAATTGATCATTGGTTCAACACCCTGAAACACTTGTTTGGGCCTATTTATCCTTTTCTTTCATAACCATGAACCCTGGCCTACATTACGTGCCTTAAAAGTCCTTTCTAATCATACATGGATTTCTAAACAGGAGAGACTATCTTCAGATTTCATCCCGCCCATCAGGATTAATCTTTGTTTGCAAAAAACAATGTAATTAATGTATGATAGACAAAAATAACAAAGGGGGGTTCAAGACGTAAATCCTGAATAACGTCTTGAAACCAAAGGAGTGTTCGAGTTGAAAACCTGAAAAGGCGGCTCGAATATAAAAATTGTGCAACTGAGGCGATCACACAAATTCCTCGATAAGGCATCACACAATCCGAGTGTGACCATAAAAGCTGGGAGTCGGAGAACACTTCTAGTAGATGAGCATGCAAGCTACCCCATCAAACCTTTGAGCATCAAATGTCAAACCATTTAGCATCAAATGAACAAAAATGCCAAACCTTTGACCAAACACAATAACCTGAGACTTTTTATCCTTTCTTTGCTTGACCATTTCCCAAAAATAGCTTTGATCTTGACACATGTCAAATAGCTATAATTTATTGAAGGATTAACATTGTAATTAATTCTTTGATATCCGATAAACTCTAGTTTTATGATTTGTCTCAATTGTAAAACCGTGAAAGTGACAATATTTTCAAAACTTTGGATCAAACATCTTTCAAAACTCTTTTAATTGATATTTTCAGAACTTTGAAAATAAAAGAGAAAGAAAAACATTTTTTTCAAACAAGACAGTCTCTCTAGAGTGGATCTTGGTAAATGACATGTGACTCTTAGACATAAAGCTCGTGCTCAGAATCAATGATGAAGCAAGAAATGAGGAACATTTGGGGCATCTTTGAAGATTCAACATCAAATATTGGGGCATTTTTTGATATTGGGGCATCTTTGGGGATTCAACATCCTAATGCAAATTATCAGACCTTTTTCAGGAGATAAAATATAACCAATTCATGTTACATGCATCTTATGCATACATTTTAGAGCATCATATCTATCATTTTCTTTCCACGTACATAATTTTACAGCTTTAGAGTCAAGTTCGACTTCAAGACGAAGGATACTCGATTCAAAAGCACCTTTACAGATTGATGTCGGTTGTTTAGCTCGCAGCAAGAAGCTACACTTCAACCAACTCGACAGATAGAAAGATCGACATTCATTTTCAGATTCGACATTTCCAATATAAATTCTGTCTCGTTTGAGACAGTGTCATTTAATGCAGATGATTATCTCATTTGAGATTGCTTTTTTAAAACAGACTTTGTCTCACTTGGGACTGTTTTACTCGAAAGAATATTTATTTCACTCATGATTGTTTTTCTTAAAACAAGATTTTTCTCTCTTGAGACAGTTTCTCTTGAAACATAAACATTGAAAACATTTCCCTTGAAATAAATTTCGTCTCTCTTGAGATAGTTTCCCTTGGAACTAAGTTTTGTCTCTCTTAAGACAGTTTCTCTTGAAACAATTTTCGTCTATCTTGAGACAGTTTCCCTTGAAACAAAACCTTTGAATTTATTTCCCCTAAAACAAATTTTTTCTCCCTTGAGACAGTTACTCTTGAAACACAAAATCTTCAAATTTATTTCCCTTAAAACATAATTTTGTTTCCCTTGAGACCGTTTCTCATGAAACAACAGATATCTTTGAGATCGTTTCCCTTGAAACGAATTCTATCTCTTTCAAGACAACTTCTTTGAAGCATCATCTGAACCGTTACACTCAGCTCAGGCACATACTTGAGATGGTCGAGAAGCATTTCTCAAATCAAAAATAGAATGTGCACATCAGATTTGAACATTTGAAGAATTCAAGATCAGGGATCAAAATTTGAAGATTCAAGAATCAAGATTCCAGACAGGCAACTGGTGATCGAGATGTCTCTCAAGAGCCCCAAGATAACATATGTTGCATATGCATTTTAGGCACACCTAAGAGCATTGCATCCATAGCATCACATATATGCATAACTTTTTCAGGTTTTAGCTAGAGTCAATTTCAACTTCGCGGCGAAGGATATTGAACTCAAAGCGACACAATTTGCTCGAGAGTGGATTTCAACTTCACGACGAAGGATATCTAGTTCGAAGCCAAACTTCATAATAAAGGGGTCTCCACGGTTTCAACTTCACGGCGAAGGGAATTGTGTCCACCCGCAACATACAATACTTGGATTTCAACTTCACGACGAAGGATATCAAGTCAAGGCTCAACTTCACAACGAAGGGGCCATCCGCGATTTCAACTCCACAACGGAGGATATCGTGGCACTCGAGGCAACACAAGTTCAACTTCACAACGAAGGGACAACTGGTTGTCAACAAACAACTTCTCAATTTCAGAGCCAATTTCAACTTCACAACGAAGGATATTGGACTCCAGACAACGCAAGTTCAACTTCACGACGAAGGGACCGCTGCCTGTCAACAACTTCTCAATTTCAGAGCCAATTTCAACTTCACAATGAAGGATATTGGACTTCAGACAACGCAAGTTCAACTTCACGACGAAGGGACCGCTGCCTGTCAACAACTTCTCAATTTCAGAACCAATTTCAACTTCACAATGAAGGATATTGGACTTCAGACAATGCAAGTTCAACTTCACGACGAAGGGACCGCTGCTTGTCAACACAACTTCTCAATTTCAGAGCCAATTTCAACTTCACAACGAAGGATATTGGACTTCAGACAACGCAAGTTCAACTTCACGACGAAGGGACCGCTGCTTGTCAATAACTTCCCAATCGCAGAGCCAATTTCAACTTCACAACGAAGGATATTGGACTCCAGACAATGCAAGTTCAACTTCACGACGAAGGGACCGCTGCTTGTCAACAACAACTTCCCAATCTCAGAGCCAATTTCAACTTCACAACGAAGGATATTGGACTCCAGACAACGCAAGTTCAACTTCACGACGAAGCATCATCCATCTTTAGATTGGATTTCAACTTCACGGCGAAGGATATCCAACTCAAAAAGGGAGTATATGTCAACAAAGACCTTCGAGTTCGACTACGCTCAGCTCCAAGGCACATCATTTACAGCATAACTCAATGCTAGAAGGGTTATCTGCCATCAAAATTGTCGAGTTCGATTCCATTCAGCTCGATGACACATCAAAGCAACCATTTTCAACAAAAGTTATATGTCAATGAAGATTTCTGAGTTCGATTCCGATCCAAGGTTTAAACCGAGAAGAAGACCGAAGGGCAACGAGAAGCCACGTTCTGATTCAAATTCCGAACTACGGCTTCAATTTCATATCATTCCAAGATGAACTCGGCTTCACGACGGAGGAGTCATCCGTAACTCAATTCGAGGGAGTTATTGAAACATCAGAGTCAATTTTCAACTCCACCGAACGAAAAGTGTGTCTTTTAATCTTGCCCTATTCCCCGTTACACGACTATGGCAAAGAGGGCAGCTGTCAACACCTTTTCGTCCTACTAGAATTCAAACTCCTAAAGATAGGATAGAATTTTGCTAGGATTCAAAAAATATGATAGAGTTCTACTATGATTTTTTTCTTTTTTCTTTCTTTTGCATGTGCACGTTATTTTTCTTGAGATTTGGTTCGAATAACCCAAAATGTGGGTTGCGCCGATGACCAAAAGGGTAGGGTTTCGAAGTTTCGAACCTAGATCTACCCTGAGGTATTTTGAAAAACCGGTTTGATTTTCGGTTAAAGGAGGGGAAGAGCTTTTAAAAATCTATATTAGTCCATTTATTTATTATATGGGATATTTTATTTATTTTTTTATTATTTATGTTATTATTATATATATATATATATATATAGATATATATTCTTTAATATTCTACTTATGAGTCTATTATTACTATATATATTGTAATTATCTTTATCTAGTCATATATTTTTTATACTTTTAATGGTTGATTTATATACCTATTATTATATATATATATATATATATATATTCTTAATTTTTTTATTATTTTTTTTATTTACGTAATATATCTTATAACTTTATATATATATATATATATATCGTTTTTTATTTATTATTATTATATATTTTAAAAAAATCTTGTGTCTTATCATTATTATTATTAAACATTATATTATATATTACTAACCTAAGGACCCATTTTTTGTCTTATTTCTGACTAAAGACCCTCACTTTCGGTGAAGTGAGAGGGTAACTTTTCTATTTTTTAATACTTGATGTATACATATATATATTTTTCCTTTTTCAAATATTACTATATATAATTATTACTTTACTATGTTTTTCCTTTATCTTATTTATTTATTTATTTATTTTTTTTTCCCTTTTACCTTATTTGTTTTATTTACCTTGTTTATCTAACACATTTCTCGATTTTTTAAGGATATTTCAAATCAATAAAGGGTAAGTAATTGGGGTCGAAACTTTACCTTTAATTTAACTTGTATTTTTCTTAATTAAGACAACTGGAAATTACGTAGTACCGAAGGGCGGTTCAAGGGTGCTAATCCTTCCTTGACCGTAACCGACTCCCGACCCGACATATTTCTGGTAAGGACGCAGATCAGGTAAGAAATAGGGTATCCGATCAACCCATTTATTTTTAAATAAATGATCGGTGGCGACTCCAATCCATTTTCCTAAGTCGAAGCCCAATTCCGGGGCCCAACCGAAAGACGGTTACGACACTTATCTCAATCGCGATTCTTAAGCCTCTCGAGTCGCTGGTTCAACTGCTCGATCTTAACAACAAGGCTAGTAACAGAGTAAAGGAGCCAGTAGAAAATAAGTGCCGCGGCGATGAGAAGCGCGTTGCGTTGACTCTTCATGATGGATTTCTGGTGACGGAGATATTCGGAAGGGGTACATGACTCGTCGTCACAGCTAGGTCGCGTCTCGTATTTCCAGTAAATATCCATGAGGAGGAAGAGACAGAAAGGAACAACCGACATGAACGGCTTCAGGAGGTTACGTGTGACGGCAATCAAGCCCTTGCGGAGTCCGTCGAGCCCTGGAACTGTGAGGAGTAGCAACATGATGGCTTCGGCGCCGGCGGCGTAGCCTAGCACTACCCATTCTAGAGCCATTTTCGTGGGAAAATTGGAAACAAAATCGTTGGATATGATTTAGGTATTGATTTTTCTGAGCTGCGGGTCGGCCCGAGGGAGCTTTCAGAAAGAAAATTAAGAACCGGTTTTTTTTTCTTCGATGGTAACGAGGTACACGTGGCCTGTTAAGAAGGAATTGGGCTTTTATTCATTTGGATTTTGCCCCGATTTTATCCCAACATTATTTTTGTTGATTAATTATCAAACTTTCCCTAACTATAGTCTATGTTTTAAATTAATCTTCAAATTTTAAATTTTTTAATTGAATCCTCTTTTTTACGGTATATTGGTAGAGATGATAAATTACTCGACCTTGATGAGTCAAGATATGTTAAGATAAATTTTATACAAGAGAGTCAGGATCAAATGTTTTTTTTAATGGAACTCGCTAATTTTATTTAAAATAAAAGGGTTAACTACATGGATGGTCACTTATGTTTGTGTTTTGTTCACTTTTGGTCACTGATTTAAAAAAGCATAAGATATGGTCACTTTCGTTTATATTTAATTACGATGTGGTTATCCCGAGTTAACTAGCGTCAACAACAATTAAATATTTTGATATAATCACACATTTGGTCCTTGTTATTTATATATTCTAGCAATTAAGTTAAAAATATGTCATATGTCATGCCACGTAAGGGTGTTAAAAATATTCGACTTGTCGACCCACCAACCCAGTTAAAAAATACCCAATTTTTCGGGTCGGGTACCCAACCCACTATTTTTTTGGGTTTCTAGGTCGAGCCTGGGTCACAAAATGTTGCTTAATCGGGTACTCGTTGATCAGGCACTCGATTTATTATATTTTTTTTATTTTTTATTTTTCCTTTTTATTCATAATTCTCAAATTATTTCACTCTAACGTTCTAAAATCCTAATTTCTAAATTTTGACACCATAACGTTCTAAATTCTTAATTTCTTAAATTATTTCATATTAACATTCTAAATTAACTTTTAAAATATTTATTTTAACTTAATAACATTTGAGATTTAATTTTATTTCTTTATTAATTTTTAATAAATTTTATTTCAATTATGTAATTTGAATTTTTAAAATTTATGTGTGGATTATATGTATTATAGACTTTTAAATTTTAGAATTTTAGAATTAACTTAATGTAAATATATTTTATTTTTTTAATTTTAAAATATATAATTTATTTTAATTTATTAAAAGTGTGACTAAATTGAGAACTATGTAAATAACAGGGATCAAATGTGCTAATATATCAAAATATTTAACTGCTGTTAACGATAATTAATTCGGGGTAACCACATCTTAATTAAATAAAAAGTGATTATATCTTATGTTTTTTGAAACCAGTGATCAAAAGTGGACAAAACACAAACATAAGTGACTATATATGTAGTTAACCCAAAATAAAAATATTCAAATTACAATAAAGGTTTATAATCACAACCATAAAATTAAACACATAATAAAAATATTTTTATAAATACGAAAAAAACTAGCCACATAAGGATCATACAAGGAAAAGTTTAAAAAACATAACCAATCAGATAAAAAGTAGATACGAACAAATATGACTGTATCGACAAACGAACGACAAAAGGTGATGAAGTTATTGAAAGGTAACTGACAAATCGTAAATCGGAATTGAGCAACATGGGAATAATATCCACGAACACAAATAACGCATCGAAATCAAATCTGAGTGTCTAAAGCAAGGAAGATCAACATGATAACAAATAAAACGTCACCTTAATCAGTCGTGATGATGTCAAATCTAACCATAAAAAAAGATAAACGAAAATAACTACCTAACAACTAAAAACGTGCTATAAAGGCATAAGAAGATGAGTGATAAAGACAAAATTATTAAAAATAAAAACAAGAAAAAAATACAGATACGCTATGATAAAATAAATAAAACAATGAATACTGACGATCAGTCTCACGGTAGGCAATTCATAATTGTTAGAGGTCTTTCACAGAAGTTACTCTCAACCTAGTGTTGGGAACAGCCTACTATCCTACCTCCCCTTACCCCATTACATATGAGAATAGGGTCAACTAATGAATACTGACGATCGACGATCAATACAAAGACTAATATCGTCACTGATCACAGAGATAAAGAACAAAAGAAACTAACGATGACCAAGGAAAAAGATAGAAAAATAAGGTAAGTTAAGATCAAATTTAAAGTAAAAATTTTAAAATTTTAAGTGTTTTAATTTTTTTAATTTTTTATTAATAAATATTTTACGTATGTATTTATGTTGCTCTCTTTAATCAAGTCCAAGTAACTGAAAATGGGTGCGGGTAGAATTGCAAATGGACTGATGATTCGATACCCCATAATTGGGCTGAAATTTTCTCCACATCCAATCCTTATAAACACTCTCGGGAGATTAGGGTTCTAATCATGGCTGATTCAAAGACAGATTCATAAGAAGAAGAAAAGGCAGTAAATTAAGGTCAAAGTTGGAGTTGATATATGACCCTAAAACTTTATTGTCAAAGGCAATGATGACCCTTTGATATATGACCCTTTTAAAATATTAATTTCTATAGAGTTTTTAAGTTATTTGCATTGATAACTGATCACCATCATTCTAATATATATTGTGTTTTGTTTTAGGGATTAAGATAAATTTAGATCTTTTGAGAGATTAAAGTTACAAAGTTTTATATGTTTTAAATATTTTAAATTAAGTTTGTTAATGAGAATAAGTAGATTGCGTCTCTTATTGATATTTTTTTTATTTAGATATAAAATCGTAACCGATGATTTAATGGTTGTTAATTAATGATATTGATGACGAAAAGATGAAGGATAGGTCAAAAAATAGGATAGTCTATGATGGAAAAAAAAGTCGAATATCTCCCATCTTTCTTCATAATGATTTATATATTGATCTCGTGTGCATGCTTGTGTCAGTTCTAGTATCATTATTATTATTATGTGTAGATCAACAAAAATGTAGTCGCCAATATCTGGATATGGTTTTGAAAAAGGTTTTCGAGTCTGTCAAAGATTTTATCAAGAGTTTATGATCGAACGAAGGATTTGTTTTATAGAAGGGTCCATCCGAAAATAATTTCAATAAGAGGAGAAATCGTAAACAAAAAAAAGAGTATTTCTGGATATTTAAATATACCAAGTTTGAATTGATGGAAGAGAGACGTTGATGGTGTAACAAAGTTATTAATTCATGAAATGGCCTAAAATATTATTTTCCCCCATTTAATTAACAAATTTCTAAGGGACTGAAAAGGAAGAAAAAACCTTTGTGGGGGACTGAAAAATAATAATAAAATTGCAAGGCAACAGGTCGGCACGTGTAAAGTGGTGATATGATTAAACCAATAAGTAAATGCAAAAGATTTGACGGATTGTACATGTAGCCAAAAGCAAGGGCTGAAAATGATGTTCAACATATGCCTTCGACATTACATCGCTTGATCTCCAAACCCTAATTCTTACAGCCCTCAAACTTTGTCATATCCTTCTACCTTTTGTTTTCGCCCTTTGTTTAAAGCCAGTCCTTATCTAATCCCTCCCCCCTCTATTTGTCTTGGTATAATTACACAAAAAGGGTCTTGGAATTTGCATTAGCGACGCCGATTATAATCCAACATCCCTTTGAGCCCACCTCTTTTCGTTGGGGAAAAAAAGTATGAAGAAAGGTGCCAAAAAGAATGAATTGTGGGATACAAGAAAAGAAATTGCAAAGTGACAAAGGGATCTTTATTTTGTATAATGGGACAGAGATTAAAGCTCTTGTGATAAAAAGGCAAAGCCGATATTAGTTTTGATAATTGATGAGAGAGAAAATTCTTAGCCGATTCATTAACTCTAACCCAGCCAATTATTGATCCATTAATTTAAATCAATATTTTAAAGATCTATTACATTTTTTCTTTAGGATAAGTTATATCGTTCCTCACTAAACTTTACTTTCTCATCTATTTTATTCATCGTACTTTTGATTTTTTTTAATTTATTCACTGAACTTTATAAATTGAATCATTTTGTTCACTATGTCGTTATTTTTCTAACGTTGTGATGATATGCCATTTTTTATTATTTATTATAAAATAATTGAAAACATAAAGGGTAAATTACACCATTCCTCACTGAACTTTACTCTCTCTCCTATTTTGCTCACCCAACTATAAAATAGAGAGAAAATGGGGGAAGAAGAGGATTCGAAATGACGTAGTTTTGGTGTATATTTGAGTTTTTCAAAACAACGTCGTTTCGATGCTTATGCCATGTCACGATGCCGTTAAAAAGTTAACGACAGAGTGAGCAAAGTGATTCGATCTGTAAAATTCAGTGATCAAATTATAAAAATTGAAAGTACGTTGAGTGAAATAGGATAGACAGTAAAATTCAGTTAGGAACCATGTAATTTATCCTTTTCTTTATTCACAATTTTTAAGATTTAAACTTTTAACGTTGTTTAAAAATTTAAACGCAGCATGAAGGTGATATCGAAAATTCTATTTTAGTTATTGCAAAACTATATAAAGTAAACAAATTATATGTAAATATAATATAAAAGTATAGACGAAGAATTCAAGCTTTTGCCAACCATATGCTATAAAGTAAGCAAAAGTTGTAATTACAGCCAACATATCCACCAATTACATCACCAGAAAGAACACTTGTTCCTTCTCCACTTTAAGTGTTCACTAATTATACACTCAGAAACAGGGTTTCGCCATGGTTGAAAATCTCAACTGGTCGCAGTTCTTAGGCTTTTTTCATCTTAGACCGCAACTTTCTCTTCACTTTGATCGAAGGCACCTGTTTCCGTACCATCAAAATGTAAAGAAAAATCGAAAATTACAGCTAAAGGATTCACCAGATTAAAAGGGTTTTTTGCTTGTATCCTTAGCAGCGTGTCTGTTTATTTACCACCTGCAAATTTTCAGATAAAAAATGTAAGAAAGGGTGAGAAAATTTCAAGAAGGTGATGAAGGTGAAAGTGAAAATTGTATTTTACCTTTGCCTTTCTCACAGAGCTTTGATAAAAATGATACAAAGAGTATGAGCAGAGCAACTGCGGCAATGAGTCCGATTAGAATTGCCAGTGTCTTCTCGATCTCATCGTCATCGTCGTTCGTATCTACGGTGTATAAAATTAATTTATTGGTATGGCCATGGGTGAATTATACAAATATGTGTAATGGACAACTAGTGGACATGTTATTGACTACATCTCCATCAAATTACTCCACAAAATTGGAAGCCACTTTAAAATTTTGCTACCGCACAAAAAAGAACTCACGATCTCAAGTAAGGATGGGCATGGGCTCGTCTCTAGACGGAACCATGAATTTATGTTAAGCAATGAAATTAAACTTATAAAATTTAAGGCGTGAAAACAAATTTTCAATAGAAAATACATAAAAAAATTAAATATATATAATAATTTTAAATTTTCAGGAGGTAACTGCCCTCACTCACCTCCTTCGGTCCATTATTGGTTCGATCGTGTAGCTTTTTAGTCAATCTTAATCTGATTTAAGTATTCTATCCTTTTATTTGTCATTTGACTCAATTCAAGTTTTGGGAGACTTCATCCAACTCAAAATTCAATTCAATTTTTAGGGATAAAAATTTGTACTTAATCCAATATAAATATAAATATAAATATAAATATATTTTTATTAAGTAAAACAAAGAGTCAATTGAAACCTATAAAGAGAGATATTCTTGTAATCATTTTTAAATATACAAAGAATAATTATTTTATTTTTTCAAACTAAGTCGGATAAAATATTTTTTACTTTACCTTGTTACATTCTTAAGAAAATCTGACCCAATCCAAATTTATTTATTTTTCTTAAAAAATCTCAAATCTATAGAATCGAATCAAATCCAAATCTTATATCCATCCCTAATCTCGCACATAAACGTGAATTGAAAAACCAAAACGTAAGAATTCACAATATTTTCAAATACTTGGACTCACCAAATAAATAATCATGAAAAGTTTTATATTTTAAGTTTCATGCAAAATTATATTAATTCTTTTAGAATAAAAAATTTGTTTTAACGTCGTTATTATGGTAATATTTTAGAGGTCGAGGTTTGAGGGAGCCCTTTACCATTTTGGCTATGGGAGTGGCTTCCACCTTCCGAGTACCGCACGTAGCACTTGGCTAAGTACATGTCACCCCATTTGGCCGCCGCGCACTCGGTTTTGAGCTGTCCGATCGCCTCCGATAAGCAATCTTCGCACTCGCTTGGACTCAAATCCCCAACGCACTGAGCCACACCCTGTAAATCCCCTGACCCGCCAACTCGGAACGGCTTGTATGTCCCATCACTCGATCCCAAGTAACCCAACATCGCATCACGACGAGTTGATCCGTCCGAGTAAGACGAACTCAACGGCCCACATTTTTTGACCGCCACAGTCTTGTCCTCCACGCCCAGGAAACTCGTATTGTCATACTTAACGAAACACCCCTCGAGTTGCAAAGCCCCACCAGTCGAGTCAAGGCAAAGAGTACCCAGTTGACTCACGGCTCTCGCCACACACCGGCCACAGTCACCTCCGTCGAGGTTGCCCCGGCACTGGAACAGGCCGTAGACAGTGTCCTGAGAGGCCGAGCCCGGTACCGTGAAGTTACTGTACGACGTGTACATGGCGGCGTTAACCAGGGAAGTGAGTACCGAATTCACGTTGGTCTCATAAGGCGAGCCCGACGTGTATCTAAGCTGCGAACAGCCACCGAAGACGAAGGAATCGGAGGCTGGATACGACGGCATAATCAAGAAAAACGATATAAAAAGAACAATAAAAAGAATCACCGACGTTTCTTTCGTCGCTAAAGCCATTGGGGAGGAAAAGAAGTGTTTGAAAGAGAGAATTTAGAAAGGGGAGTGAGGGATGGCTTAAAGGAGAGGCTTACGGAGTATTAAAAAACAAATGGACGACACTGTTTTGTGTGTTTGAGAACAGAGAGGATTGTTGCTTTGAGGGGAATTTACGTAAGGAGAACACTAGCTTCATATTTCACATGAATTTCCATTTTTTTTTCATATATTGTTATTATAACGATTATTACATCATTTTATCCATTTTTTTAAAAATATATTTTATTTTTAAAAAATATAAATGTGACACGTGCCACTTAATGATTTTTTAATGATAAGCACCTAAAAGTATAACGAAAAAAACTTTAAACATCTATTTTTAACGAAAAATTCTTTAAAAGTTAAAATGTTTTTGGAAGCATTCTTTATGCACTTATTTTTGTATTAAGCCATTTGATAATACTAAAGGACATAACAAGGATAAAACCATGGGGGCGAAATTGCTTAATGTTAAAAGTGATAGGGACCTAAGAAGTATTTAAACACTAAACATTTGATTCATCTAAAAACTAAAAATAATTAAGCCATAAAATCCGGAGACATGGCTTAATTTGACTAGCTTCTAAACTTATAGGTACCTAAAAGTAAATAGGGTAAAATACACCGAAGGTCATTGAACTATATTTAAATGAGCATTTTGGTCATAGAACTTTCTAAAGAAACAAAAATATCATTAAATTTACTGATCTATCACATAATAGTCGTTAAATTTTATCGAACATTTACAAAATGATAAACTAAATTATCAAAATTTTACATTTATTATGACATCACAACGATCATTTTAAACTTTTAAAAGTTCAATGACTAGAATGATCATTTTAATGTAGTTTAGTGACATTTATTGTACTTTAACCAAACAATCAAACCAATAAAGTTAGGGGTAGGACTTAATTTGACTAATCTTAAATCACACAAGATCTTAAAATAATTATACCATAAAAGCTGAGGGTAGGTCCCCTTCCACTATCAATGTGTCGAGAATACACTAAAAAATATAATAAGAATTTAACAAAAATTGGTTAATAGTGTAATCGATTAAACTTTTATAAAGCAAGTAGACAAACTAAACTCTTGGAATTATAAGTAAATGTAAGGATGGGCATGGGTCGGGTTATATCGATTTTTTGAAATAAAATCTGAACTTGATTCGATCCTACTCGAAATAATAAAAAATATTTGTTTATTTAATAAAAATAGTGATTTAATTGAAAAAATAATACATAAAAGGGTATTATTATAATTATTCTTAAATATATAAGGTAAAATTATACTTTTTTTCGAGTCGGATCAGATATTTTTCACCATAAACCAGAACCCGACTTGACCCGAACACCACCTTTAAAAAAACCCAATCGAATCCGATTTTTTTTTAAAACGATTCGGGTCGAAACTCGTCAGGTTCGGGTCCCATACCCATCCCTAAGTAAATGAATTAAATTTCAAAATTTTAAAGAAAAAAAAGGACTGAATGTATAATTAAACCTCTCTAATATTAGTAACATTTTAAGAACTATATATATGGAGGAGTAAAGTTTGTTTTTTAAATTGTAAGAGGCGATCATAAGGTAATATATATTCATAATTTTTCTTATCGATTGATAATGTATACACCTTGTAGATGCCATTGTTCAAATTCGATATCCAAAGGGAGATTAACGCTCCCCTTAATCTCCGAGTTCATATGATATGATCATGAGTAAAATTTGGTTCGAATCTTAACGATTGCGAACAAAACAAACTGGATTAAGAAGGTCGCACTTACCTCTGTAGTATCTAATCTAGATCAATCGATCAATAGATCGAATACCGATGGTTACACCAAAAATAAAATACCTATGTATGGAAAATTGTTGGTTTTAATAAAATTAGTTGGAAAATGACATGTGGTTGGGGGACCGGTAACGGTTGACCTGTTGAAAGAATGATGATAAAGATGACAATAGAAAGTGATAGCCCTAGCTAGAACCTTTAAAAAATAAAAAAATAATAATTAAACATAGAACCTTTAAATATATAATTGGGAAATATTAATTAAAAATAATTTAAACAAACATAAACAATTTTTATTTGTTTTTTATTTCCACTATAAAAAGTTAGATGTCCCTTTAGAGCCTAGACATGTGGTCATCTTATGGAGCCCTCCCAATAAAGCAATAGCCTTTTGAAAATACCCAAAAGCAGCATGGGATTTACTTATTACAATTGTAAATTAATAAAATGGGTTTAATACTTAAAATGTTGAATTAATTGTCATTTTTTTACTAATCACGTATATTTAATATATTGATCGATTAATTATGATCAAGTATTACAAAAGTCTATTATAAGAATGATCTTTCTAATTTATTTTATTTTATTTAGACCATCGAAAATTCAAATCACTAATATTATTTAAGAGATCTAATGTCTCATTCCATTAAACCGACTTATCATTGATAAGCAGTGTTTTTTACTCTCTATAAATCTACCTAGCTTTATTCAAATATGACTAATGAACGTATAAAATAATTGTTCATAGAAAAGTGGTTGGTATTGACTTTCATTCCTTTTATAAGTATAACATGTGAAAACATGAGAAATCAATTCCTAATATATATATATATGAATAGAATTTAGGGTAAATTACACATTTAGAATCTAAACTATCAATTTTGATCATTTTTGTACATAAACTTTCATTTTTTTCAAAATCATACTTAAAGTTTAGTTTTTGTTTCATTTTAGTACCCCATTCAAAATTTAGCGTTAAATTTTGAAAAGATTAAAAGTTTAGATACTAAAACGGACCAAAACTAATAATTTAGGTACTAAATGCGTTAAGTCTTTAACGGCGGGTACTAAAATGAAATGAAAACTAAACGTTAGGATGATTTTGAAAAAAATAAAAGTTTAGGTACTAAAATGAATCAAAATTGATAGTTTATGTACTAAATACATAGTTTACTCTAATATATATATATATATATATATATATATATATATATTTTGTAAATATGATTTGTATTAAATCAAACGCACCAGATCAGGTGAGTATCAGGACTCTTGAACAAGTTTAAAGATGTATTGATGAAGGGTCATTTTCCTTTGATATTGAAGAAGGGAACCTCTATGTTTGGTACACTAATGCTCCCATATTTATGAAAGTGCTTGAAAATTCATCTAAACTCCATTTTGACAAGGACTTTGATTGGGGTCACAAAATTTAATGCACCAACTAATTTTACTTTTCGCAATTACCTAGTTTTATATGCCCTTCTTAATTTATTCTTTTATTGGTATTCATTCTAGTGTAACTAGTAAAATATTTATCCTCAAAGTCAAATAAATTTGAACCATATAATTAAACCATGATATAGAAATTATTTTGTGTAGTGTTAGGGTATTTTTTAATCACAATAAAATGATACAAATCCTTTAAAAAGAGATTTTGTTAAAAGAATAAAACATTTAATGACCTTTATTTTATTTGATATTCCACCAAAGTCTAGGCGTTTGTACCCATAAAGCACCAAAAGAATCAATAATTACTTGTCATATACTGATTGACCAAATTTTACTGGTCTAAAACCCATTTGCTGATATGGACGGAAGGTGCGTATCACCAAATATGTCTTTCCTGGGTTTTCGTCCTAGCTGGCACCACGTGGGCAAAGCGCATATCACCATTCGCGTCTTCGCAAGGAAAACTGACACGCTACAGAAGGCGCATATCAATATCTACACCTTCCATTATTCACCTTGAATTATTAGGTACTCTATTATTACTCGAGCCTTAAAGTTTAATGACTCACCCATCCCCATTCCCTATAAATACCCCCAAATGCAAACATAAAACACACCAAAATTATTTTCACATTCTTTCTTCTATCAAGTTAAGTATATTTTATTATAGTTCTTAGAAGGTAATTTTTTTTATATTATATTTATTTATTTGACCAAATTTTTGTACTGACTATTTCAAATTATTTTTTGCGGTTGTAAAATGGAAGGAAGAATCAAATTTTGAGACATTTTGTCGATACGGTAACAATATTAAATTGTTTTATTTAATTTACTGTGATTTTTTTTTATTTTTAGCATTAGTTTATATTTTAATTTATATAATATTAATTTAATTAGGTGTATTTCAGCTATTATTTTTGAAGATATAAGACCCTCAATCTTTCAAACTTTCAAACTCTCAAAATGAGGCGTATTTAAACTATTGTTACTACAATGGAAAAATTCGGGAAAATGAAATCAACATTGTCTTCGCATCAGATTATTCTGTTAGAATATCCTTCAAGAGAAACATCACTTTGAGGAGATGATCACTAAAATTTCAAGAAAGGTTCATGTTGGAAGTATTAAAATATTGTCCTCACTTCAGTACAAATTTCCAACTACAGTATTTCTGTTAACTTATACTGCGTTCAAACTCTCCAATGACGATGATGTTGCTATGATGGTTGATTCTAAGAATAAAAATTTAGACGCTAATACAAAAATGTATGCGACATTTGTTGAAGTGTCTGCGGTTTATGGTATGTCATTATGTTACTATAGGCTGACTCAACAAGTTGATCACGTTGACAGCCCAACTCAAGTAATGTGTAATGATTTTAACTCGTTAATGGGAAATTCACATCTTAGTATCATCCTCTCAAGTTAAATGGGGAGACATTTATCAGCAACTTGTTACGATCTCAATCGAGGTGACTCCACGAAAAATCTGTATGACAACATCGCTTCCAGTTCAAGGGGAAAACATTTATCTACCAATTTCTTTAACTTGAATATGAGGATGCCCTCGACACAACAATCTATTTAGTACCTATTTGACACGATGCTATCAAGTTCCAGGGAGAAGCATTGAACTGCGAGCTTATTTGATCTCAATGTCGAGATGTCTACGACACATCACTCAGTTCAAAATCCGTATGACACTATGCCTTCAAGTTCAAGAGGAAGGCATTCAACTATCAGCTTGTTCAACCTAACTATCGACATCGCATATGAACCCTCATCTCCACCAGAAGAACCTCTTCGTGAGCCAAGTGCGAATAGTGCTGAGACTGGACTATTCGTTGAGCCACAATCACCACAGTTCAACAT